TTTGTTATTTGCTATCTTTCAGCTATATCTTCACATGGCACCCAGAACCTCCTGCCAAAACCATGCATAGAAACCTCTTCACAAAATGTGTCACTGGGTACAGGGAAACATCATGCCTTTGAGAATTTACACTTAATGATAAACTGGGACAGTAGTAGAAAGAATGAAGTGCATCAGAAGTTTCATGAAGGACGTGGTCCAATTGAGAGGACTGCCCATAACAAGAACTTCACGGCCACAAGCAGTGAAGGACATAAAACATCTTGGAAAACCGCCCTTTTTACATCCACTATTTGTGCAAAGCAGTGTGCATCTGTAAGCAGAAGTTCCAATCAAACATGCAAACATACATATTTGTGCAACGAAAATTTGGAACATTTGGAAAGTCACCTCGTCCACGCTGAAAACAATGCTTTGAACCATTGTGAAAGTGGGATTGGATTGACCTTTCAGTCAAATAGTTCTAAAACTCAGAGATTCAAAAATGAAGATGAAAGGCCTAGGACATCTCAATTTGGGAGGTGCTTCACAGAGGAGGTGACCCTACAACATTACCAGTACATTTTCAATGGAGATACACTGGCTCAATACAGTGAATCTGAGACACAGTCTAACCAGGGATCCCATGTTAGCAAATGTCTGAGGACTCCTCTGCAAGAAAACCATATTGAACCTAATAAAGATGAGGAAGTCTTTTACCCAAACTCCAAATGTACCAATAGTAAGAGTACACAGAGGGGAGAAATTACTTCTAAATATGATGAATGTGGGAAAGCTCTGAAGCAGTCCTCCAGTATTGCTGATCATCAAAGGATTCGTGTGGGGGAGAACCCATACACAGGTAACGAATCTGGAAACATGTTTAGTCAATCATTAAGTCTAAATACCTGTAAGACAAGTGGTACTGGAGAGAAAAGGTACATTTGCAAGGAATGTGGCAAAACCTTTGACAGGCACTCAACACTATCTCAACATCAGCAAACACATACTGCAAAGAAAATTGACAAATGTGAACAAGGTGGTCAAACCATTAAGGGTGGGTCATCACTTCACGCACACAGTCAAATCCATACTGCACAGAAACCTTACAAATGTCAAGAATGTGGCAAGGCCTTTAACCAGCAATCATCCCTTACTCAGCATCACAGAATCCACACTGGAGAGAAACCTCACAAATGTCAAGAATGTGGCAAGGTCTTTAGCCAGCAATCATCCCTTAGTCAACATCACAAAACGCATACTGGAGAGAAACCTCACAAATGTCAAGAATGTGGTAAGTCCTTTAAATGGCACTCATACCTTAATCAACATCACAGAATTCATACTGGAGAGAAACCTTACCAATGTCAAGAATGTGGCAAGGCCTTTAGCCAGCAATCATCCCTTACTCAGCATTACAGAATGCATACTGGAGAGAAACCTTACAGATGTCAAGAATGTGGCAAGGCCTTTAGCCGGCAGTCATCCCTGAGTAAGCATCATAGAGTGCATACTGGAGAGAAACCTTACCAATGTCAAGAATGTGGCAAGGTCTTTAGCCAGCAATCGTGCCTTAGACAGCATCACAGAATGCATACTGGAGAGAAACCTCACAAATGTCAAGAGTGTGGCAAGGCCTTTAGCCAGCAATCATCCCTTATTCAACATCATAGAATGCATACTGGACAGAAACCTTACCAATGTCAAGAATGTGGAAAAGCCTTTACCCGTTCCTCACTACTCACTCAACATCACAGAATTCATACCGGAGAGAAACCTCACAAATGTCAAGACTGTGGCAAGGCCTTTAGTGAATACTCAACCCTGACTCGGCATCACAGAATCCATACTGGGGAGAAACCTTACCAATGTCAAGAATGTGGCAAGTCCTTTATCCAAAACTCACACCTTAGTAAACATCACAGAACTCATACTGGAGAAAAACCTTACAAATGTCAAATGTGGCTAGGCCTTTAAGGTGTATTCACAGTTTACTTGACATGAGAGAATTCATGCCAGAGAGAAACCATACAAATGTCAAGAATGTGGCAAGACCTTGAGTGAATACTCAATCCTACTCAACATCACAGAATTCATACCAGACAGAAATCTTACCAATGTAACAAATGCAGCAAAACCTTGTTTCTGGTTCTAGCCTTATTCTGCATCACAGAATCCATACTGGAGGGAAACCTTACCAATGTCAAGAATGTGGCAAGGCCTTTAGGTTGCAGTCACCCTTATTGACCATCACAGAATTCATACTGGAGAGAAAGCTTACCGTATAAGGCATGTGGCAAGGCCTTTACCAAACACTCAAAACTTACTCGACATGACAAAATTCATACTTGAGAGATCCTTACCAATGCAATGAATGTGCAAAAGGTTTTAATCACCAATCACCCTTTATTCAATATCACACAAATCATCTTGGAGCAAACGTTTAAGACAGAGTTTAAGACTGTGAGAGAACTTCTTTTTATTTTTAAAAATTTTTTTCTTAGAATGAGTAGGAGGGAGCAGAGAGAGAGACACGCAGTATCAAAAGTAGGTTCCAGGCTTTGAGCTGTCGGCACAGATAGCTCGGAGCCTGAGGCAGTGTTCGAACCCACAAGTCGCGATATCATGACTTGAGGTGAAGTTGGATGCTTTGCCGACTGAGCTACCCAGGAGCCCCAAGACTGTGAGAGAACTTTTAAGGACTGCTCAATGCTACTCCACATCACAGAATCCACATTGAAGATTAACGATACACAAGTAAACTACGTGGCAAGAGTTAAACCAATGCTGATCCCTGATTTCTTGTTAGAGAATGTGTTATAGAGATGATTTTACACATAGAAAGAATCTGGGAAGCCCTTTAATAGTGCTTAAGCCTCATTCCACACCACCAACTTCATACTTGAAAGAAACTTTATAATTGTAGAGAATGTGGTGAAACGTTTCACATGGCTCAAGCCTTACTCACCATCACATTGTTCATACATAGGAGGAACATTGCAAATGTGATGAATGTGGCAAACCCCTAGGTGGAAGTCCTAGCTTATTCAACATCATAGTTCCCATATCAGAGGAAATCTCTAAAATGTAAAGAGAATGACAAAGCTTTCATCTGGAATTCAATGTTTATTCAATATCTCCAAATGCATGTTGAGTTGAAACCATACAAACCTAATGCATGAGCAAAGCCCTTGTTCATAAATATGCCTTTTGGAAAACAGCAGAGAGTACCAAAAGGAAAGTAAGTTGAAGGAAGTATTTAAAAATATATTTAACTGAACATAACATGTCAACACGTGTCACAGGATTCACAGCAGAAAGCAATAAGTCAGTGTGTTCAGACATTACATCAAAATCCTTATTAGAAGGAATAATACAAAGTTAAACATTTAGATAATGTATATGCTATTATGCTTTAAATGATAAAAGGGATGGAGTTTTGCATAGGTATAATCTCAATATTTTTACATTAACCTTATTTAAGATTTGTGGCTAGTAAACATTAATATACCTCTTATTCTCAAATCACTTCAGAAAATTCATTTACTCCTAGTGGGTGTTTGAATGTATGTGGCTGAGTGTTGCTACATCAGTGATATGAGTTCCCTTCTTTCTTAGGTGGGACTCATACATATGTAATTTTCCATGGAAGGTGAAGGAGAAGAGTTGAATAAAATCTATATGGAGATACTTTCTGTGCCTCTAACCTTGTTGTAATTATCATGAAAGAGGTGTTCAGGACACCATTGTCCATTTATTTCAACTAAAAGTGTGTATTACAAATAACATGTTGTACTAATTAGTCTTTAAGGAAAAAGAGGGTCAGTCCACTCAAAAATGTGAAGCAGCTTCATGATAGCAATAGCTACAAGTACAGAATATCTACTGATATGATTGAAAGGAAGAAATGTTCACAGATATCAGAAAGAGTATACCAAAACCTTCCTAAAATGGCTAGGATTCTACATTCACATTTTTGAAGAGTCAACTCAGGCCTGGAATAAGTTTGGTAGGCAAAATTAAGCTGTACATAAAATAGACTGTCATGTCTTCTGAATCCTCATGGTAACCACTGAGCAAAACTGGTAATTGATACCTAAAAGATAAAGAGGAAAGAATCAGGGTTTACTATTCTTGAGACTCATCAGATCACAAAGGTAAAGAGAAAATGGATAAGGATGGGAGGAAGAATTCTAAAGTAGCAAGAATACCATGAAAAGAATGACAACAGAAACTCCTTGCCTGTATCAATACTTCCTTTAAATATAAAGAGATTAAATTCCCCAATCAAAAGATAGACATTGGCTGAATGGAAAGGAATCCAAGATTCAGTGCTATGCTGCCTTCATGAGACTCACATCAGCTCTCAGAACACACTCAGCCTGAAAGGGCAGATATTCAAACGATATTGCATACAATCAGAAACCAAAAGAAATGGGGTAGCTATGCTTCAGACAAAATAGTCTTGAGTGCAAGGACTATAATAAGACATGGCAAAGGTCAGTATTAAACAAAGGGGTCAGTTTGTGCAGGGTTTTCAGTTAATGTTTGGCATTTAGTTTTGTTTGGCAGAAGGCAATAAAGTTTGCTCCCGTTTTGCTTTTGGAGGACAATAATAGTATGGTTTTTTTAACTCATGTACTGACCACATTGAAAAGAAACACCTTTTCCCATAAGTGTTGGTGGTGTTTGTGCAGATGCCTGAATTGTAGTTTGTGTAATGTTTCTGAACATCTGTATCTTATGACTCCTCGAAATGGCTACTTGATTTTCAAAAACCGATTGCTCTGTTTAGAGGGTTGCGGAAAAAAAAAAAGAAGGGTAAATGACAAGTTGGAAAGGCTAATACTTCAAGATTTTGATGTGTGTGGGAAAATACTGTTGCAATGAAATCTTGGTAATTTACTGCAAAAGCAGCCAATAGTTGATTGAAACCAACTTGTACAGGCTAATACATCTTTCCCAGAGTATTCACTTTTTGAACATTGTACTATTATACCTTGCAATTATTTTCACTCACATATTATTTAATTTTCATTGTTATCTGCTCTTTTAAGCCATCAAGCAAGTTATTTTTTGTTTCAGGCAGGGTACCATAATATCTCACAGTAAGATTTCTGATATTTCTGGGCAGTTGTTTGTGTACATTTGCAATGATGGGTTTTTTATGGATCACTGTGTCAATATAGTGGATTTATTTGAGTTCTTTCTGAAATGTGCATCTTCCCATAAGGTAACCCTGCATTTAATTCACTTTGTTCACACTTTTTAGACTACCCTATATGTGACTAAAGTTTTTGTACATTCTATGTCTATTTACTACATAGAAGACATTCACTCCTTGAATGTAGGAGAAAGGTAGCTATCCCATGTACTTACGATTTGTTTGTGTTGCATTACAGCTGTAGGTTTGTATATGTGTGTAGCATTTGTATTGACAAAACATTTAGTTGTGTGTTGCTTTTTGTTCCATGAGTTACATAATACTCTTATTGTGCATTGAATTGTTGTGTTGATTTGGTCACATTTGGATACATATGCATCACTTTTTAAAATCATTTTCTTTTATAGAGATATAGTAAACGTTTATAGTTTTTTGAAATAAATATAAGCTGCTTTTCCTAAGAACAAAACTGAAAAAATAAAGGAGTCAATTCCACCAAAGGAAAGAACTTGTATAAATATTTATCCTCCCCCCCCACCCCCCATAAAAGCAGCTATGTATGTATACAGCATGTATTAAGATGTGCAGGACTTCAGCACTGCACTTTCAATAATGGATTGAGTATTCAGACACAACATCAATATAGAAACATCAGACTTCAAGGACATTCAGCAGACGGACTTACAACATTGCATCCAACAGCAGCAGAAAACACATTCTTCACACATGCACACAGAACATTCTCCAGTATAGATTATATGTTGGCACACAAAACAAGTCTTAATAAATTTATGAGTGAAATCCTATCAAGCATCTTTTCAATCACAATGGCATGAAACTAGAGGTCAGGTAACAGGACAAAACTAGAAAACTCACAAATGTGCAAAAACTAAGCAACATACCCCATTATTCATAATAACCAAGACATGAAAATAACTTGTGTCCATAGTCATTTGTGTAGATAATATGCTGCATATATACAATATAGACTGGCTAAAATGTGCAATGCCGCAGTGGTCTTTTATTCTAAGCACACTGAGGAATTACTGTCTCACAGTTCTGGAGGTTCTTAGAAGTCTGAAGGGAGCTGTTGGAAGCTCAAGAATTGAGTCTTTGTTCTTTCTAACTCCTGGGGACTGCCAGCTGTCCCTGGCCTGGCTTGGCTTGTCGATGTATCTCCATCATTGCCTTCATCATCACACCTTGTTCTGTGTGTGTCT